TAACTCCAACATCCGAACAAGAAATGCAGCGATTCAAATCAACAATAATTGATTGCTGTTATCAGTATCTGAATACAAAACCAAAAGTATACAATCACATAACAAGACAACATAGAGAAGAATTAAATCAGGTTAAACAAAACAAAGAACTCCTAATAACCCGTCCACATAAAGGAGCTGGCCTAGTCCTTATGGACAAGAAAGACTATATTGAGAAAATGGAAAACATTTGCTAAAAAAAAAGTAGTATGGCCATGTTGGATCGCTATTATTTAAATTTGTCAATAATTTAATAATACCAGTGAAAGTCAACACTAGAGCAATCACCAAATGACCTTCAGCAAACTGTCATGTTACTAGTCATGATTGTAGGGCAAGTTTTGGTTCAAGAACTTTCTGCTGATCTGATTTGTCCACTTTTAATATGTAGGGGTTAAGGTTACAGGCTAGACTAGGTTTAGGAATCAAGAATACGGGCTGCGTTTATAGTTAAGAGTTTAGTTTAAGACAAGAGGTTAGGGTGGCGCAGGACCGTCTCACTAAATAGTCGAGCTACTTAAGTATAAAATTTATCAATAATCAGAAGGGATTTTACAGTTCTTTATTTGAAGTGATTGTTCAAGGTCATTCCGCAGCTGCTGCTGTTCTTCCTCATCACAATATCTTTATTATGAACAATATGTTGACACATTATATATGTCCAAACCAAGTTCCCTTTTAACAGTTTGAAAAAATTTGGGCACTGGGTATATGATATTCATTATAATAAAGGTCTTTGTATTTCCCAATGAATGAAAAACAAAACGATATTGTTGTGTTTACTGACGTTTCGCTATTTAATGCTGCCGCTAATAGCTTTATCAAAGTATTATTAAACCGGAATTTACAAAATCTCAGCATATATAATATCAGAAGCACTTCATATCAAGTGGAATCCGAATTGCCTGAATAGGAATGATGGACTAAAACAGAATCTCACCTGGTTACAACACCTTCCTCCCCTCTCCCATGAAGTGACAAAATCAACACGAATCTGACTCATAAGCAAGTTCACTATGTAAACACACACTGCTTTTATAATTTTACACACTGATCAAATCCAACAATCTACACTTGGTTTTGTTATCCTGACCCACTGACCAACTTGACAAAGAAAAATGACCCCAGACTGACGAACGATGATCAAGTTAGTGAACTTTGTTTTGATATCATAACAGACGTACTATTACCTTTGTTATTTGGTTTAGTGATCTTCATTGTTATTTTGACTTTCAATATGTCCTTTTAACTTGACCTAACTTGTCTATTTTCTCACCCCTTAACAAAATGTTGACACACTGTTCAGAATTCTCAGCATATTATAGTTTATAATATTTGCTCTTCGTCTGGAATCTTCAGTTAAATCAGTAATCGATAGGATATCGTCTGTCATAATCCTATTCAATCTGAAGCAATCCCTTGCAATATTTTTCCTCTGTCTCTTTCAAGAAATCCACAGTAGTGGGTTGAAAGTCAATAAAAAATGTTTTTGAGTACATTTTGCGACCCAACGATGTAACTGAATAATTAAAACAGTATGTAATAAAGAGACCTTAATAAACAATGTTGAGTGGAAATTCTGCGTAAAATAAATGATATCCTTACATTTTTTAATAACCCAATTGTACAACTTACTATTTGTAGATATATTATTATTGTTTCCTTTAGTTCCTAGAGGAACATAGGGCTTCAGCCGCACGTCTCCATTGAGTTCGGTTCTCTGCCAGTGTTTTCACCTGGCTCCACGTCTGCCCACATGACTTTATCTCCTCTTCTCATAGCTTCCTCCATGCCGCCCTCGCACTGACGACCTACTAACTCACCGCTTCCCATTCGGGTCCCACTAGAGCGATGACCTGGCATGCGATGTCACTTGATGGTTTGTTTTCTCAGAGTATGGCTAATCCATTCCACCTCTATTTCTTCCTGCATATTTGTTGCATAGTTGGTTCCTGCTGGGTTGGTTCGTTCGTTCATTGCCAGAGATCTCTCCCTGTTGCTGATCTTTCCTGGGAGGCCATCTGATCTTGTGTAGTATTGAGCGAAGACAGCTGTTGATGAGGGTGTGTAGTTTGTTCGAAGTGTGTCCTTCGTGACGCACCAAGTCTCTGATCTGTTTAGTAAGTAGCACTGACTTCACAGTGGAGTTGAAAATCCGGATGTTATTTTTCATGCTGAGTGCTGTTGATCTCCACACAGACTTGAAAGTATAATACTTCCCAGGTCGGTAGGTAAAGTAGTTTGCTTCTTTCAGATTTCTCCTATTTATACTGATTTGTACACATTTTTTTATTCCTTCACCTTCCCAGTGGAATATAGGGCTCCAAGCTAGAGGTCTGAAGTTTCTGTAGCAGTGTTTATTTTTACAGAATGGAGTTGCTAGCCTCATGCCTAACCTTCCCTCTTTACCAGTCTTATTACTGCCTTAGCGAGGTAAGGGAGTGCGCCGGCCGGGGATCGAACCCCGAACCATATGCATGGTCGGCGAGCATCCTAGCCGCTATACCACCGACGCACACCATACATATAAATGAATGAATTCTTTAAACAGTTACCTATAATCTTATTAGTTTCAAAGTGATAAACTTAACTGTTAGCTAAATACTAATGGAAGCAAAGTATCTAAATTAAGAACAAACTGTGAACTGAATAACTTTAGTAGAAGATTTAATCATCTTGTTTTTTTCAAACAAAATCTTATTTGAAATTTATAGAATTAAGGTATTAATCCCTTACCTCACTAAGCCAGAAATGATGCTGGTGAAGAGAAAAGGTTGGGCATGAGGCTAGCAACCCCATCTTGTAAAATAAGCGCTGCTAAAGAAACTTCAAGCCACTAGGTTGGAGCCCTATGTTCCACTGGGGAACGTGAAGGAAATAAAAATAGTAAAAAATAAATGTTAGCAGATGTTTAGCTGCTTAAGCAAGGAACACTTATAAAGAGACTAGATGTAACAGTGTAGACTCTTTAATTCATTATGTTACTCTAAATCTATTTTGAAGTCAAATGTTTTGTATACAAATTTAAAAAATAATTAATTTCACTTTGATGGGTCACCAGGTAGCAATCACTGTCATGTGTCTAGTACTAAGTTTGCTACAGACTGTATTCTATCAGTAAAGTTTGCAATATGGTCACCAGGCTAGGTGACTTATCATCACCGTACATTGTGAATTGATATTAGATGGCTAAAGGTCAGTAGTGAGCCCGAATAGCTCAGTGGTAACGTCTGTGCCTGCAGCACTGGGTGATGCGGGTTCAAATCTCATAGACGGACACGAGTTCCTTCGAGACTACAGACAAACCTTGCTAATACGTGGCAATAAGCACCAAACCCAGGTCCAGGGCTCCCTTCCGACTGCCTTCAGTCGTCTAATTGTGGTGAGAGCTGGCTGCAAGCCAAAATTGCGGAGAACAGTTTGCGTAAATGTTCACGTCCTGAGTCAGGGTCATGAGAAAAACAATGATATAGCTTAACCTTAGGAAAATTGCCATCCAGTCACAGCGGAGTTGACGTGTGGAAATATGATTTAAAGATATATGGTTTGATTTTCTGAGAAACGGTCACAAGCAGTATAGAATAACCTTCAGCAAGAAAAAAACCCAATTAGATGAGGTTGCTTCTCAGTTAACAATACTGTACATAAGAATCTGCTTTACACGCAGAAGGTCCCCGGTTCGTACCAGGGCCGAACCAGGCTTGGCGTCGGTGGCATAGCGGTTAGGACGCTCACCGACCATGCACATGGTGCGGGGTTCGATCCCCGACCGACGCACTCCTTTACCTCGCTAAGCCAGAAATAATGCTGGTAAAGAGGAAAGGTTGGGCATGAGGCTAGCAACCCCATCCTGTAAAGTAAAACACCGCTACAGAAACTTCAAGCCACTAGCTTGAAGCCCTATGTTCCACTGGGGAACGTGAAGGAAAAAAAACATAAGAATCTATAAATACGTCTTGATCTTCTCAATAAACTATCTGTTACCTAGGCCTTGTCTTCTGCTTTTACATAATAATCAATTTTCAGATAACAGAAAGTGACGGTGTTTTGAAAGTCAGCAAATTCTTATCTTCTTGACTATGGTTCCATTGTTTTCGTACACACACACACACATACACATTTTGTTCACGTTTGATACAGTAGAATATTCAACAGTAAATTATCCATACTCAGCTTTTATTGTGTAATATACTCAGAAGAAATTTGGCCGGGATTTTACAACATTCACTAAAACATTAAATCTTTTCAATTAAAACTAAGGATTATTTTTAGTGAGGACTTCATTTACTCAACGTTTTGCTTCACTATAAGAACTTTCAAAAGCTTTTTATCTTCATCATTTAATTCTTTTATTGATGAGACCGAGAAGGAGGGTACGGAATACAAACATACCTCATTGATGAACCTAGGTGAAAAGCCATGCGTACTAAACGAATAATTGAAAACAAAACCTCACAACATGCCAAACTATCAAAGAATTTGTTGTAAACACAAAAAAAAGCTTACTGGATAAAATGCAAACACATCCATTAGTAAATTGAATATTCCCATAATTTATTCAGAACAAAATATTTAGAGCGAACAGTTGTTTTCAATGAATTTTTCTTCAGGCTCTACAATTATAAATCCATTAATTTAAGCATGCAATAGCTAGCCAATAAAGGCAAATTAGAATCATATCAGAAAGTGTATTGTGGAACAAGTATAAGATGGGATGGAACAATAGTCAGATAGTTTTTTAATATGCGTGGTCAATCAGAACATGGGACAAAATGCGATGAAGTAATTTAATTCTATGATGTCTGCATATATATAAATATAGTCAACAGAAAATACGAGTTTCGAGAGTGTGTGTAATCAGGGTGCGTGAGACAATATAGCTTCGCACCGATTCAGTACAAAAGAAACTTAGTTAAGTGTCTAAGCTATAGAATAAAACGTACATGTTCAGACGAATGCATTAAGGAAGAAATGCATAAACTGAAACTCACACTACAAGAAAATGGATATCCACAGAGCTTCCTAAAAAAGTATATGTCAATACCTACAGACAAGGTAAGGTGGATACCGTAGAAAAGAAACCTTTGTATCTTAAGTTAAGTTACAAAGGGGAAATTGCAGCTGACATTCTAAAATGTCGACTTAATAGAGCAGTAGATAGAACATTTCCTGCAGCTAAACTGGTACTCAACTTCTCAACTAAACCAGTACTCACACAGCAAGTAAAGGATAAATTACCAAAGATGGCCTCATCAATGTGCATCTATGAATTCAACTGCTCATGTGGAGCTAGTTACATTGGCCGTACTCAGAGGGCTTTATTCATGCGTGCACGTGAACATGTACCTGTATGGTTGAGTAAAGGAGTAACCAAATGTGTAAATAGTGCAGTCTAAGCCCACTTGGTAGATACTGGATACCAGATAAAACTTGACCAGGCGTTCTCAGTTATTTACCGCGTTCCTAGTAATTTATCTAGAGGAGCTCGACGAAGTCTTCTATCAGTAGCTGAAGCGGTGGCAATTAATACCAGAAGACCATCTCTTTGCATACAGAAGAAGTATGTTCAACCATTATGTTTACCTTGGCCTACAATAAAGCCAACAAATCCTCCATTAACACTACAAATTCCTTTCACAATTTTCTTTTCTTTTCTTCTTCTTCTATTCCTCTGTTTCATTGACAATCGTTCATTTTCGACTTTCAAGACCTTTCTTATGATTTTATTACCTTAGGTTTAAGCAGTGCTTTTCTAACTTGTTATCGTATTTACAAAATCCTGTTCATTCCACTTCATTATATTCATCATTATTATTATTTGATAATCATTCACCAATAGTGCTTGTAATTCTACACCATATCATCGTTATTATTTTACTGTCGTTATTTTCAACCTTGAACTTATGTCTAGTCCGCCCCATTCGTTGGTTGATTTTCATATTGTCTCACACACCCTGATTACACACACTCTCGAAACTCGTATTTTCTGTTGACTATATTTATATATATGCAGACATCATAGAATTAAATTACTTCATCTCATTTTGTCCCATGTTCTCATTGACCATGCATATTAAAAAAACTATCTGACTATTGTTCCATCCCATCTTATACTTGTTCCACAATACACTTTCTGATATGATTCTAATTTGCCTTTACATCCATTAGTCTTTGGGTTATAGGCAGTACTGTTGAAATAAAAGTCCACAGTTTACATTACCTAATAATGGAGATGTCATCATTTTTTAATGTTATCTTTTGGAACACTGTGAGCGTCTGTGACACAGCGGTAGAATGCTGGCCAACCATGTATGTGGTCCGGACTTCGACCGCCGGCAGACATATTCCTTTACCTCACTTAGCCAGTAAGAAGAGTAGCAAAGAGGGAAGGTTGGGCATAAGGCTAGCGATCCAACCCCGTAAAAATAAACATTACTGCTAACGAAACTTCAAGCCTCTAGCTTGAAGCCCTATGTCCCACTGGGAACGTAAATGAATAATAATTGAATTACTGTAACACTGTGAATACTTTAGGACTGAATTGTTTTGTGTGAATTTTGAGTGGTAGAAACAACCCAACCACTTGCTTATCAAACACATTTTCTACACCTCAATAAGGATAAGTCTTGTATTGTTTGAAAAAAAAAACAGGGGTTCTGAATCGATAGGTATCAACTTAAAGTGATGTTTCAGCTTGCATACAGCAGTGACCCGATCAGCTATGATGTCTGAAACAAATATACCTTCAGGTTCTGAAATGTTATAAAAGTTAGAGACATAGCTGTTTGACTAAAAGCAGTTAGAATAATAGGATAAGTTGCTTGCAATGTCATATGAGTTTGCAGGGAGGAAGTTATACTGTTCGTTTATGGAGATTTAACAGCAGTTATGACAACGAGTAAGTAAAATATTCTACCTTCTCAGTGCAAACAGGAGGGATTAAAATAAGGTCAGCAGCGAAGATTCTATATCTCAATTTACACTGCAGCTGTTCCTTGACAGTATTAAGGTTTTCCGAAAACTCTACAGTGGAACATATTGTACTGTAGACTGTTTGGTCATACCAACTCAATATCTTTCCATTTTTTGTTGGATTACTTCAAGAAGAAGTGAAAATCCTTGGTAATGGGCAGTCAGGGAGTGCCAGTCATCCACATGCTTTCGTAAGCCAGTGGGATTCTTCTGCTAATCAGCCGCCCCTTACTTGCCTCCCTTTCGCTGGTAGCACTAGTCCCCGAGAACGTTTCTTCAGTTGCTGTTGACTCTGTGAGCATCTTTATAAAGTGAATCCGGTTGTTAGTCTCATTTAAGCTACTCCTCTAACTTCATTTTGCAGTTTTCAGTATCCAAACCCTACGAAAAGTCAGATACAGGATCTTATAGTTTAAAACTCTGGTATGTTATGTCTGTAATTTTGAATGCATACGAAACCTCTCAAACTTCCATCAACACAAAAATATTCTCTACTTACCACCTAACCATTTCATCTAATTGCTTTCGCAAAGATTTATCTCCTCCCACTTCTAATACTATTCCTTATGTAGTCTCTTCATCTTCTCTTAACTCTTAGACTATCCCTGACGATTTAGGTCGGAAGGGGGATTATTCCACACATTTTGGACAGTGCTTCCAAATTCATATTTGAGATTTTAACGTCTGAGAACGATGCAGAATCTAAAAGTGGGCCTCACTAGCCGAAATTCCGGCATCTTGGACACAGTGTATACTTTGTATCTCTGAAATATGCATACAAGACACAGCTATAGTCACTCATTTAACCACACCAAGTCAGCATGGTGAGTCTTTAATATTCAACCCATGAGCGTGGAGACTCTATGACAAACTCTTGTAAAGCACCTTGTGCAAGTATAGCATTGTTATTTAGAGTATAAAACACATCTATCGATTAGTTTGTGTTTTCGGTGGACATTAGGCCATAAAGCTATCAAACTGAATGGGTACATAAGTACAAGGAGCATCGTGATATTCCTGGAAGCTTTCTTGTAGTCTGAGTGGACTTTGGTCATGCATTAGTGCATGTAGGTGTTTACCTGCAACCAAACGAACTTTGAAAACGAGAAGCCATGAAATCTTTCTCTATATAGCCTTTGTATTGTAGGACTGTATTCATAGAAACTATCGCAAAACATTTATCAGAACACGACGTCAATACTGATTCTAAAAAAGGCTGGTGCAATATCCAGTCTTCTGCAGAAGCAATAGGGAAGGCTTTTGATCACACTCAGCCAAGCGTTGGCAAGTGCCGTCAGACTTCTACTGTTTCGCTTGGAATAGCAAGACCTCTAAGGTTAACTGTCGAAGTGTTTAGGAGTGGCGGTGATGAATTATTGACTAGCTTAACTAAGGTGTTGGCTAGTGTATTGGAATCCAAAATATTTCCATCTGGCCAAAATAGATCACTAGTCTCACCACTCTGTACGAAATGACACAATTCTCCCCGTGATAATCATAAGTGAAACGGCTTGACTGACACTGTATGTAAGGTCCCACGTTTCATACTTCTGTGAAGAATAAGTAGGGATCTTAAAACCAGGCACGTTTCGGACCCAGACGAGGATTCATTGATAGGGTCTTCAGCCTCCAACAGGTTCTGAGACAGACATTCTCTGGCGTCTGACACTTTTCGTCTAACTTGAAATGAAGTCAACAACCGACCACGTCGATTGTGGGGTACTTTGAAGATATCTGGTCGTGAACATATTTTCGAGAAAACATGCAGTGCCTACCAAAGCAAATTACTCGAACCCATGAAGCCATGTGATAACTTATGAAGAGTTGCTATCAGAAGTGACGCTAGTCATCAGTTTCCTCCAGAGTGGCCCACTATTACATTTCCTATTTAAATCCGCTTTAAATGTACGGATTTATTTGACTCTGATTGACTGCAATGTCGTAGGGATGATAAATTCCTTATAAGTAGAAACGCTGACACTGACAAAATCTGATTTTCTGAACAAAGCTCTGAATACATTTCATATGTCGTCTGCCACTATTAAATGTAAGGTGATGTTCCACTACTGGTCTGCGCTGACTTTTAGTTTAAGATTACAGAGTGAAATGGTTAAACTTATTGACCACTTTACTTAATGTAGGAGTTATTGGCGAAATCCCGTGAAGATGTTTCGGTATCCTCCATCTTGTGTCATCTTTGGTGCAGGCTTGATATCCGGATACTCAGTCTGATTTTCTCTACTTTACAGTAGTAAGTCATGACTTTGGAAGCTGTGGAAAGATAAGTAGTTTTTGACCACTATTATTTTTTTTGATTACAGCTTGATTCCACACCGTATTTTTTTGGTACAGGTATGGAATTTTCAGCATGTGATATCGGTAGCCCAAATTTTGCAGGCCGACCATAGATATCAGATGTGCGTCGACAGGGGATTGAACCCCGGACCATGTGCATGATCGGCGAGAGTCCTAACCACTGTGCCACCGACCATTGACGATTGGTCTAAACTCCAGGAAAAGATTTAGACTACCTGAATGGAATCATCTAGATGGTAAGTTTACTCCTAAGATAGTTGGTGTTTAAGTTCTCAGTAATAAATGGAACTTATAACCTTTAAAAAAAACAACTAAAATTTCATGAATACCATTTAATTGTTAACTTCTTAGTACTAAATGAAGTCTGTTCAACGGGTTTACAATTTGACTAGTAAGCTAAGTTACACTGCACTGCAGCACACTAAATTTTCGATGTTAGATGTTAATGGAGCCATTCAGGAAGAAAGGTATATACATAACCTTTTTTATGCCAATCAAAAACACTTTCATGAAAACAACCGTCTGTTTATGTTGTTGTCTCCTTATCGTGGAGCCTAATGTTTTTAATTCTGATTGTAAATTAAGATTTCTGAGGTAGACACACGTGAATGAGTCATATTAATGTTAATAAAATAAACACAACAGGAAACTTGCTAAATGTACAGCGTTCCTCAGTTGATGCGATTTTTAAAATCGCACACGCATACTAAAATGAGATAGTAAACTGGTTTTCTCTTGAACACTTTTCATAACAAGCTGTGCAGGTTGATAGTATCAATACAGATGCAGTAGGACAATTAAAATTATCTAGTTGCAATAAATAGATTGCATTTTGATGTATTTGTATTCTCTAAGCTGAATAGTTTATTTGCGAAGCGGCTGGCCCTATTCAGGTAGGTAGTAACCTGGGTTCTAGTGGCAATTCGTGACCAGTGGGGTACAGCAGGTCGGGTGTGAGGACAAATAGTGGCCTATGAAATTAGCTAGTGGTCGCGAGATGTCATGAATTGGTAGAAGTTAG